AATTCCATCTTTGCTTTTTTTTTTTTTGTCAATGGAAACAAATTTTATAATCAATTGTAAAAAGAAAATTCACTTTAATGGACAATTTTCATGTAAAACAAAGTCAAACGTACACTAAATTTTGATAAAAAAAAAATGATTTTTTAGGAAAAAAATTCTTTTTTCGTTTTTTTTTTTTTTTTTACTTTTTGACAATAGAAATAAATCTTATAACTAATTGTGGAAAAAATTATCACTTTAATGGGGTAAAACAAAGTCAAACGAACATAAAATTTTAAAATTTTTCGGGTGGAAAATTATACCAATCAAATACACTTAATTAACAATTCTCTGTAAAACAATTTCTAGGCAATTACTTTTCCTGAAATTCATTTTCTTTCCACCTATTTTCCACCATTACAATCAAACGCACCCTTAGATGTCTGGTTGTCAAAAATTAGTTCCTCAAATGTGCAAGTGAAATCGGGCTTGGAACTGGACTGAAAATATCTGCAAGGGTTAGATTCTTGTTTCAGGTTTCCCTACCAGAAAAAAGGACATGCGAACAAATAAAGAAATAAAGAAAAAATTAAAGTGAAGGGTGTAATTGTATATTTAGTGTAAAGTGATGAAATAGTTGGACATGCAGTGATAGCTGGTTGGCACTCGTAAAAGTTTGATGCTAACGCATCAATTAATTTGCAAGGAAACATCATACTGAAGCTTTCCTAAACATCATATTAATTTCTTAAACATGTTCTCTCTTTTTTGTAATTTTTTTATTATTGTTAATGGTTTAATGAATTGGTAGAAAGGTTCAAATATTTAAGATTGCTAGATTGATGAATAATGATTCGAGGTCAAGTTGTTCACATATTGAAGCTTTCCAATTTGACATGGCACTTGGTCATTGAGAAGGTTGTTCTATAAACTAATGTATGGAAGCTCTTTCAAATTTCCAATCTCGATTGGGGTGATGTCTCATAAGTATATTTTGTAGACTTATCTGAACTATTAAAGTAGAGTATTTATTGTTGATTAGGATGAATTATAGCTTAATTTTGTATCAATTTTTTTTATTAGGTAAAAGTCGAGGCAAATTGAGTAATTGAAAGAAATGAGCAAAAAATGGGCAAAAATAGTGGAAACCTAAAGTTTGAGGACCAAAGTGTAAATATTCAATACTTGATTTGGACCACAAGATGATGATTGAAGATTATATAAGATTAATCGAATGCAACTAGAAGTCAAATGAGTGAAAATTGAAATAAAATAAATTTCCAGCCGAACAAGTTATATTCTAGATTTTTAGACTCAGATTGAGATTCATTTTTTGAATAGCATACATTCAAATTTGAAGAATGCTACTTCGGAAGAATTGTATCCCCTTGAATTATTGTTCCAACACATTTTGAATCTCATCAATCGAATATCAAGAGAAAACGTTTTGACAAAAATATTGATGATCTGTCAGGAACGAAAACATTGGTCGATGCAGCTGCTAAGAAGACCATGCCGACTTGGCAAAAACAGACTCGAGAGCTAAACAATTCAATGGTGTGGTTGCAAATCATTGGCCAGCGCGGGCGCACAGGTTTAACTGGAGGCCTAATGTGCAATTTCCTTATTTAAACAAAAATTTTCTTGAAAACTACTTTGGACGCGATTTTTACAAAAAAAAAATTGATTCCTATAAATACTAAAAAAGGGCTACCACTATGAAAAACTCTCTCTAGATTCTAATTACAAGTTCTAATTGTCAAATTCATCAAGAATAAGAGACCAATTCATCACTTTTGTAAGATGAGATCAAACTTAAGTAAGATTTGAAAACCAATTATATCAAGATTTTAATGAATTCAACATTGAAATTGAAGATCAACATCTTTTATATTATTTCATGATCCAGGTTATGTTTTTCCATAGTTCTTCTTGTAATTTATATGAAATCACAGTCCCGTTCTCCTATCCGCGACGGGCAAGTTTATCCTGCCCACTCGGAGAGAACCCAACGNCTTTCCAATTTGACATGGCACTTGGCCATTGAGAGGTTGTTTTAGAAACTAATGTATGGAAGCACTTTCAAATTTCCAATCTCGACTGGGGTGATGTCTCATAAGTATATTTTGTAAACTTATCTGAACTATTTAAGTAGAGTATTTATTGTTGATTAGGATGAATTATAGCTTAATTTTGTGTCAATTTTGTTTATTAGGTAAAACTCGAGGCAAATTGGGTAAATTAAAAGAAATGAGCAAAAAATGGGCAAAAATTGAGGAAGCCTAAAGTTTAAGGACCAAAGTATAAATATTTAATAGTTGATTTGGACCACAAGATGATGATTGAAGATTATATAAGATTAATCGGATGCAATTGGAAGTCAAATGAGTGAAAATTGAAATAAAATAAATTTCCAGCCGAACAAGTTATATTCTAGATTTTTAGACTCAGATTGAAATTCATTTTTTGAATAGCATACATTCAAATTTGAAGAATGCTACTCCGGAAGAATTGTATTCCCTTGAATTATTGTTCCAACACATTTTGAATCTCATCAATCGAATATCAAGAGAAAACGTTTTGACAAAAATATTGATGATCTGTCAGGAACGAAAACATTGGTCGATGCAGCTACTAAGAAGACCATGCTGACTTGGCAAAAATAGACTCGAGAGCTAAACAATTCAATGGCGTTGTTGTAAATCATTGGCGAGCGCGGGCGCACAGGTATAACTGGAGGCCCAACGTGCAATTTCCTTATTTAAATAAAAATTTTCTTGAAAACTACTTTGGACGTGATTTTTACAAAAAAAAAATTGATTCCTATAAATACTAAAAAAGGGCTACCACTATGAAAAACTCTCTCTAGATTCTAATTACAAGTTCTAATTGTCAAATTCATCAAGAATAAGAGACCAGTTCATCAGTTTTGTAAGATGAGATCAAACTTTAGTAAGATTTGAAAACCAATTATATCAAGATTTTAATGAATTCAACATTGAAATTGAAGATCAACATCTTTTATATTATTTCATCATCCAGGTTATGTTTTTCCATTGTTCTTCTTGTAATTTATATGAAATTATGCTAAATTAGATCCATTTTTGTATTGGATATAGATGAACCCTATTATTTATTTATTTATTTTAAATCAAGATTAGTTGTTTAGTATTTCTTGTATATCTTAATTAATTTTGCATATTCATTGCACTATTTAATTGCGTAGCTAACAATTATAATTAGTTGTTTGTTGCAATGTTGGAAGACTCACAATAAATATAGAACGCAACAAAATTAATATATGTATAATAGATGTTAGAAATAATCTAAAATTTAATGCATTCTGATTCGCACCA